GCCCCAGGATGGCAGCAATGAGACCACACACACACACACACACACACACACACACCACACACACACACCACACACACACCTCCACCACACACACACACACACACACACACACACACACACACACACACACACACACACACACACACACACACCACCCGACCCGCCCCCATTCCTCCCTGGTACGTGATAGAGAGACGTGTGCGTCAATGTCACAGGCCGCCGACCATGTTGGCTGAACCTAGCTAGGCGCTGAAAGAGGAGTGGGACAGACTCCCTCAAATCGCTATTGGGATTCATATGCAGTATCCCTCGTCAAGACGATGTGAATGTTAACAAATCGTGGCAGTAATACCCACTACTGATCCCAAAAACGTCAACTTTGAAAATTCCCATCTTTTCCCCGTCGTCCTACAAGATCGTTGGCGGTCATAACATCAACTGTCATACTTCACAACCGGTTGTAGTATGTTCCCAATTCGTGATCATATTATCATTTATTACCAATTATTATCATACAACTAATACTGGAAACTTATATTTAATACAGTTTTTGAAAGTTAAAGTTATTTCTATGTATTCCCTACTCTTCTTAAGAGTATATTTGTAACAGAAGTAAATAGAGGTTATGACGCGAGTGTGGTTTGGGATTACTGAATGTCCCATCTTCCCAAGACAAGAGAGTTAACTGACTATAAAGGTCCAGTTTCCACCCTTGCCGAACTAGCCTGGTATTATGGAGTTACATAGTCCAATCAAAATCGCGCAAAGAAATCGAAATCCGGTTTGAAAACTGTCGTGCTGAATTCGGTCGATTGCAGGATTTGCAAAGCATGTGCACCGCTAACTCGATGTCAACAGATATTTTCCAAATCTTTTCATGATTTTAATCAAGGTGCTCACGTGATTTGTTGCACTTCGCGATGTAAGACCCGCTTTATCACAATATAAATCTTGATTATCGATCAGATCGTCTTGACTGGGCGACAACATTTTGTTTAAAACAAATGCAAGTGATAAAAGAGGTGGAATCTGATTGGTCTATAGGAGAGGTTTAGAAGGGACATAGCTCGCTATAACCACTGGTGGCGCTACGATCGAGCTCAGGAATTCCAGCCTAGTTCGGCAAGGGTGGAAACTAGACCTTTAAAGACAGTTAACTCTCATGCGTCGGGAAGATGTAAATGTCCAGTATCTATAATAATTAAGTTTAGAGAGCCTTGGCGAGCTAAATACTAGTACATAGTGGTTATTCATAATACATGACAAGACTATTTACCATCCCAAAACACGCAAGCGCGATAACTTCTTTATCATATAGTATCATACTTCAATTCAATCGGGGCGGTCGGGTAGCCTAGTGGTTAAAGCGTTCGCTCGTCACGCCGAAAACCTGGGTTCGATTCCCGACATGAGTACAATGTGTGAAGCCCATTTCTGATGTCCCTCGCCGTGATATTGCTGGAATATTGCCAAAAGCGGCGTGAAACCATACTCACTCACTTCAATTCAATCACACGGTACTTAAGTTTTACATGGCAAGTTTTCCTGTAATGTGCGCATTAATAGTTTACGTCACAAGCTCAGATATGATTGGTTTGTTAGCACCATACCCTTGGTCGTGGGTTGCGCCAAAGTGGTGAACGTCATAGGCTTGTGGATTTCCTACCACTGTCAGCTGACACGGAAGTACTGTTCAAAGCACTCTTTCTAAACGGCAGAAATGCCTTGTCCATATGCGTAGTGTATTTCGAAAGATGCCAACATCATTATATCTATTACTGCTAAACCTGGAAAGTCTTCACAGGTTGGCAAAGTGACCCAAGAGTGGGATTTAAGCGTTAAAGGTCTTTGGTGCCTGCTATTGTTGTTTATAACCTCGTTTTAGGGATTCCCATATCATGTTGGTATAATTTAATCATACGTTTGGAACCTCCTTCATTAAACGCTCTCTTGTTGAGCTTTGAATTAACTTTTGTCCCTTTGAACATCCATCTAAATATGTTGAAATTTAAAATACTTTAAAAAAATTAAGAGTTTGAAAATTAAAAAATCTTCCAAATGACAACGAAACATCTCTATCACTAAAATCTCATCGACATTTCCTAACGATTGGGTAGTAGTTTTGTCCCATCTCTACAGCAACAATCACACAACACGAACTCCGATATAGGCTCCTATAGTACAGACATTTGTTTTACAACCATCACTTAATTCGTGTTCTTACTTTGACACACCTACACCCAGTTATTAATGATTAATGATTTTGCCCAAGGATGCTTCTCAATATGGTATTCGAGAAACGTTTCTACTTTCCAAAAGGTAAATCGAACGGTTTTGTTTATCACATTACTTTGTACAGAAAGGCATAACAAGGAATACGCTTCGATTAATTGATCCTGGTTTAACGCCCTTTAAGATTAATTCACCAATACAGCAGTTATGTCTGTGTGGTTACTGGTTATATAGTGCTAGCCCACCGAGATACCATGACATATATACCACATTCGGATGTAGACAGAAAGAAAGTATATTGCTTGATCAGATCTTCAAAGGAAGACGGAATGTAATACCATTGATCTCCGTTCCCGAAGGTTTGTGACGGCGGATTTCTATGCCTTCTGAGAGTTTCTTCTTTTTTGTTCATTTCCGTCACAAACACATGCAAGGGCAAGTCAATTGTTCATGTTGTTTTTTTTCACGTAAAAATGGGAATTGCATCGGATATCATTTTGTCACTAATGCGTAAAACCTTTGAAAGCTTAGCTAAGGCCTTGAACGTTGTAACCCTGTTCAACCAAATTTTGAAGGCATAATTCATCATGTTTCACGTATACGCAAGGCCCTGTGGTGTTGAACACTTCTGTTGATTGATTGTCGCTGAATAAATAACACAACCGGGGCTGACTATTGACCCTAGAAGTCAGGGCAATAGCTGTCATATGAACGGCGGAAGTGAGGAATTATCATTAATCGATCAACAGCATTGTCACCATATAGCTGTAACGATTACTTGTGGTGGAAATACATATAATCACTACCGACTAATTCGAAAACCAGGTTCAGCACCCGTGACGTCATCAGCCGTTTGCAACTCCGTACAAGCATAAAGTGCGGGGTGATACAGTGTCATGTAAACATACCACAATGTAGGCCAAGTAGTCACGGCAATACCAAAAGCAGATGTCAGTCGATAAATTCACGATTAACCAATATTGTTTTCTTGAATCTATCAAGCGCGTGCGTGCGTGCGTGTGTGTGTGTGTGTCTGTGTGTGTGTGTGTGACATATATTACAATATACATAAGTAAACACCCATACAGTTCCACGTGGCGCAGAATGTAAGATGAAGCCATATAAACTGACGTCCAAAATAAACTTTACCAGAGTTTGAAATCACTCTTGCTCAAAAACAACAAAACACACATGCATGAAGTAAAGTGTATTGAGAAGATCAATATATCAACATAATCAACACTGAAAATGACAATCATACCGCGACCGAGAATGACGTCAGAGCCCCCCAAAGTTGGGTGTGGTACAACACTCGAGCTTTCAGAATCATGGACAATAGGCAGAGTACATAAACAATCGCTCACGTTCAATAACAAGTCATTAGTAGCGTGTGTGACCACCAAATGCCTCAATACACGCAAAAACTCTTCGACGCACAGAAAAAGTCAGTCGTCTGATGAGGTCACGTAGGAATTGACGCCATTCTTCTTGGAGGGCCAAGATCAGTTCTTGCCGGTTGGCTGGAGAGTGTGGTCGTTGTCGAACACGACGATCCATCAAGTACCAGAGGTGTTCTATGGGGTACATGTCGCGTGAGCGTGCAGGCCACGGCAGGACGTTCACGTTGTTGGCTGCGAGGAAGTTAGTGACAATTCTGGCTGTATGGGCTCTAGCGTTGTCATGCTGATAAATGACACCACGTGGCTGCTGTCTGAGAAATGGTAGGACAACTGGACGAAGAATGTTATCCATGTAACGCTGAGCTGTCAGGTTTCCGTCAACGATGACCAGCGGTGTCCTCTCCTGCCCACAGATCCCTCCCCACACCATGATACTCCCTCCACCATATGGTACGACCTCCTGCACGCAACACGCCGCCGTTCGTTCACCCCTTCGGCGGTACACACGTTGTCTTCCATCAGCCCTAAACATACAGAATCGACTTTCGTCAGTGAAGACAACCCTCTGCCAGTCACGTCGTTGCCAGCGTCGTACAGTCCGGGCCAATCTCAATCGCAGACGACGATGTTGCGCTGTCAATAGCTGTCCTCTGTATGGTCTAAAAGCCCTGATTCCATGAGCCCTGAGTCTCCTGGCCACTGTCTATCGACGAACCCTGTGACCTAAGGCATTTGTCGCCGATGACGTCACTGTCAGGAAGCGATTTCGGAGGTGCAAGGTACGCAAGTACCGGTCATCATGGGGCGTGGTCACCCTGGGTCTGCCTGTTCTTGGCCTGTCAGCGGTCCGTCCTGTCTGTCTGTAACGTTGCATCAAGTTGGTAACGGCAACACGGGAGCAACCAAAGGTTCATGCAATATGGGCGTGGGTGGCTCCCATCTGTACAATACCTAAGGCTCGTTCACGTTGTTCGACTGTGAGTCGTGGCATTTCTTTTGTGTGTTTTTTTATCACTGTGGATGTCTGACTTGCCGTTGCAATCGTTTTATACCCTTACCCGCACGTGCATTTGCAGTTTTCCGTGGTGCACGTGTTTTTCACTTTTTCGCGTGTTATCTCGCAAACATGTAACAGACGATTAACATTTTCTGCATACACTATTGTTGTATTTAGGTTATGTGTTTTAGATAGACTTTATCGAAAAAAAAAAAATACTTTGTCTGAAATTTATATTTTCAGTTGGTAAAGTTTCTTTTGGACGTCGGTTTATTACAATCTACACAAGTAAACAACTTACATAACTCCTGTATATTCAGTTCTAGTGCAGAGCGTTACATTATAACAACACGTTCCTCTTTGTCTTCCAGACAAATGTCTTCGATGGAAAGCCTCTCACTAACTTGCAAAATAATAGCAGTCACGTGTTTCGTCGGCATGACAACGTGCAGTTTTCAATTTAACACGAAAAATTTCCAACTATATCGCCTGTGGGACATGGACGACCGCATGCCGCCCTTCAGTCCCGTTAGTCCCATCACGTGCAAGGAGGAGTGCGCCATGATTTGCATGAGTGACGTCACATGTGCTGCTTTCTCACATGGCGAGTATGTGAGGTTCTGCATGGTGACCCCAGAAAGTGTCAGGCCCTACGACGTGTCCATCAGCAATCCGCTGCCTGGCTTCACACACTACAGTTTATACGAAGGTACGCACACTTTACTTGTTGATGAAGCTGGTACATATCAGTGGTGATCAATTTTCAGATGAATATTTGTGTTGCACATTTTACAGGACACAGCTGCTGTTTGACCATGATTGATCTAGTCAAAGGCTCTTGAAGAGACGTGTCTTTTATGGTGGCCGAGCAGGGACATCGCTTTGTTGCCTTCAATTACGAGAAAGCGATAAAGCGATATCACGTGACGAGAAAGCGATAGCACGAGTCCGAAAAGCGATATGAATATCCATTCTCTTCCTTGAATATTGCTTTCTCGTCTCGCGGTATAACCCGCTCGTGTTATCGCTTTCTCGTCTCGTGCTATCACTTTTTGCGTCTCGTGATATCGCTTTATCGATTTCTGGCGTCCGTTATTGAAGGCGAGAAAGCGATGCCCCTTGGCCACCATAGTTTTGGGTGTCTTTTTTATGTTTATTCCGATTTTCTGCTTCTCATGTTTATTGTGGCAGATTGTTCCATAGCAGTGGGCCAGTATGTTGGAATGATCTATCGCCATATTTGTCACTGCTTCACTGAGGCCTTGAATGTTTTAATCTCGATCAAACAACTTCTGAGCAAGAGTTGTATGAGTCTCTTTGAAATCCTGGTAGAACGAGCATTCTCGATTGTACCTTAAAAGTTGTGAAATGTAGACACCAAGGGCAGAGCCTCTGGAATATTGCTCGACATAAATGGACAGTTGACCATTGGAAAGTTGAAGTCATCCCTCTTGTCATACAGTCTTATTGGGAGACTCAGTGTTTTGTCACTCTGAATCTTTATGCATAGGCTAAATATGAAACAGATGAAGCAGTATCACTGGTCTCCCTTATTTTTAGTTCAGGTGGGTAAATCAGCGGAAGGGAATATGCTGTTTGGTGGTTATTGAACGATATCAGATCATCGATATACCTGAAGACCAAATCACTTTGCCAATCCGAGCAGAAATTCTGATTAAAAAACATTCCACTGTTTCAGACATCGGGGAGGGCATCTTACCACCTGGCTACCGGACATTCAACATCTCCAAACTTGCCCTGCGGTTCCACTACTACTGGCCAAGGAACTGGACAGACGCACGTGACACGTGCGCCAGCGAGGGCGGTCGTCTGCTCACTTTGGACACGGAGGAGAAGAGACAACTGCTGCAAGACCTCATCACAAGCAATAAAGGTACTGGAAGACACATGACACTATTGGAAATAATTAGTCGTTAAATATGTCAAGAATGTTTTTTTTACCAGATCAAAGCTATTATTTGTTAGATATACATGTATACACCTGGACATTAATTTAGCGCCACCGATGTCTTCGTGAATGAGTCATGTACTTACAGCCTAGTGCAAAATGATATAACAGTATCCAAACATGTTTACTGCTTACCAGAGTAATCAAACATGAAAAAAACAAGGTTTTGAATTGGGACAATGACAGTTAAATTGTTCACATTTTGATGGTCATTATATTCACCGAAACAAAATGGAAATTACTATTGTCGCTCAATAAATACTGATCTGCTTCAAACCAGTCTGTTTGAACGGAATCCTAAACCATTGTTAGTACACAAACGCAGTTCTCGTCAATACAAGGTGTAACCACCCTGCACACGAACGATTGCCGCCAGACGCCTCACCATTCAATGAATCAGACGTTGGATTTAACGTTGGGGTATTCTAGCAGCAGTATGAAAGCAGCAGCAAGTTTAAGGTGTGGACAGGTGGGTCTCTGTGTCGAGCTTGACGGACTAAAATGTCCCGCAGATGTTCATTTAGCTAATGATATAGACTTCTTGCAAGCCAAGGAAGTGTCTCGATGGCATTATGACGTAAGTAATCCAGAACCGCACGTGATTTGTGAGGGTAGCATTCATCAATGAAAACAGGTCTCAAGGCCAACGCATGATTGTCGAAATGGGGGATAACTGCCGTCTCCAGGATGCCATGGTGAAATCGAGGTCCATTCAAGTAACCCTGCTCAGTGATCAAGTCAAGTTTACAATTGAATGAAACACATCCTTCTGCCATTACTGACCATTACGGACGTGCCACACGAATGTTGTGAGCAGCCATGGCTGTATTTCCCTACCTCAAGACACGTGTCTACCATGTGTAACAGAAACCGATTTTCATCTGAGAAATCGACTCCAGTTTAGACGTTGGTTAGACCATACCAAACGAGCCGTTTAATGGGCCTGAGTTAACAAGGGACGTTTGATTGGGATTCTGGCACTGTATCCAGCCGTTTTCATGTAATTTCGGATGGCTCAGGTTGAAATCCCCCTGCCTGGTAGCGTAGCCACTGTGCCTCTAAAACTGTACTGTTATCGAATCGACGTTGTCTGAAGAGCCTGAATTATCCTGCATCTTCTCTCTTGGATGGCCTTAACGTCATATGTTGTTCAGTATTTCTGCACAAATCTTGAAATTACATTATAGTAACGTCCATGTTGATGTCCAATTTCCCAACAATACATTCCTGCATTTGTCATTCTAATAATCTGCCATCTTAACGCTTCAGACAATCTACGGAGTACCATGATAATGCTTTGTAATGAGAAAGAATGAATGATCGGAGCTGCAAATTAACTATTTCATTCATTTATTCTGCTTGATATAAGGGGCAAATCCGGAATTATCAGAGGCTGATAGCCAGCAGTTGCGGATTCACGCAAAGTGTGCACACCGGCGTTTACGGTTACAACTCCCTAAACGCGAAACACTCGTTAAAGTTTATTCTTATAAATGAACAATAACACTTCACCGAAAGCTTATTCAATTGGTGAAATAGGTGATATCGTTCAGCGGAATAATGCAACAGAAGGCCCGCCCATTCTATTATCAACCAATCAGGAAAAATCAGCCAAAATTATATTCGGTTTTTGGAAACAAACGAAAAGGAATTGCTTGGCGAGCCAATGAAATGCCACGGAAGAAACCCTATGTGATGTACTAATTATGAAGTACAGCTGTACAGGGGCGGTATTTCTGTCTTATTATTTTCTTGTGCCAATGTTGACTCGTGTGTATGATGCAGTAACCATGCACGTCAGGAAGAAACAGCCATGTCATTTCTATGTGGCCCTATCACTCATGCTAAGAGTGCTAATTTTGGTGCTGATGAAGGGACAAGTCGATTAGTTTGGCTTGGTAAATATAAGGCCATTAGTAAGAGCAAACGCAATTAAACACTTACTGTACCAATTGAACACTTCCCGACAAAATCTCGTATGCTGAAATGTGAAACTTCCAACAAATATTCGTTGCAATATGATATCATGCATTTCCTGCCATGCTGTAGGTTGAGGACATCTGACCCACGGAAACGGCGTATATATATCGGCGGAAGTACTGTCTGGTGTGTCATGAAAATGCATCCGAGGATTCCATATGTTTGACTTTGTATAAGTAGAGGTCCTCACGCGAGGTTTTTTGGGGGATGGTAAATATCCTGTATTGGGAATATACATTTTATTTAGCGAGCCTTGGCGAGCTAAATACATATTGTTTATTCCTAAAAATATTCTTTTTACATCCCAATACATCCAAGTGTGATAACCTCTTTTAGCGTATAACATATAATGTTATTCCGAAATTCTGCCGTCGAAAACATATTCTCATCTCTCACAAACGGTTCCTAAACATTTTTCTTAGAATGTGCGTAAGGTCATTGACAACAACTTGTTACCACCAATATAGGCAAAAAACGACAATTGGCCTCTATCAAAGAGACTACTCTAGTCAATGATACGTCATGTGTAGAGTCTCTCGGTCTTTCATAATGTTAGGTAATGCAGTCACATGTCCCACACAGCGACAAAATGAAGCAAAGTTCCATGTCGAACACACTTCGGCTAAGCCCAAGCCACAGAGGTCTAACAGCGCAGATATAGAAACTGACGTCTCTAGTGCCCTCAATTATATTGCTTTGCAATTTATATCTCCAAAGCTGCCTTAACTTGTAAAAGGTCTCAGCTGCGCCCCTGAAAGACTCTGATTTTGGTATGTTAGACTTTCATTTTGATACCGATAACAGAGATCCCAGTAATTTGTCCAGATCCCGAGGTCAATTCTGACTCGACGGCCGACAGACAAGGGGTGCGCCCATGCTTCTTTGTAGCCAATGAAAGAAGTACCCTTCTGACCTTATATATTTGCATATTTATCCTTAAATGACTCCAACGGGTACCGTCTTTTTCCAATGGCTTTATCCTGCAGATAAACCTACCCGATATTGTGATAAATGATGTCATTGTCAGAAACGTGTTGATGTTTTAATTTGAAATGGTATTTGCTATTGTGAAGAGCTTTACGTTTTCACCCTTTTAAAAATGTTGTCTCGGTAACAATGGGGTAGATCTTGATAATTTTGTCCGATATTGACAACCGTATTGACTAAAGACGTATATGGAAAACATTTACCATTGCTTTCAGAGTTGAGCACTACCGGGACAGGGCTGTACGTTGGTGGGATGGTAAATGGTACAGAGTTCTACTGGGAGGACGGTACTCTCCTGGCCAACAGCGACCCTCTGTGGGCAGCATCACCTGCCGGAACCGGAAACTGCACCATCTTGGACCGCGATAAGGGCTTCCGACTCGTTGATGGCGACTGTTCGCTAGAGCAGCCCTATATTTGTGAACACCTGCATTTTGAGACACAGAGTACACTTCCTTCAGTTGGTCGACAGAGTTTAACCTAGCATCAATGGATGTATGTTTGTGATTATGTTACAGTTCTTTTCGAAAAGTGCAAGATGCACGTCCTTTATAAATGATCGACTAAACAACAAAACACACCTGAAATCTAAAACACAAAATTTGCGTTGTTTAACAATATGATAAATATAAACGTATTGAATCAGAACTGAAAATTACGTCCTTTGTACATCGAACTCAACACGTGATAAGGGACCGGTCATTTATTACAGGAGTTGTGGAGGGATGGGTGGGGGTGTCGGAGGTTATTGATGCACTAATGTCCTGAAAATAATAACCCTCCCCTAATGCTTGTCCCATTTGTCATGACCCTCCCTGAAATATCAATACATTTAAGCATCCCTCTGTCCATCCACTACCCTATGATAAATGACCTGTCCCTGACGGTCTTGTATCAAAATGTATGTGGTGTTAGCGGAATTCTGTTTCTTGTGTTCACAAATGTTCTTTTGTCAAATTGGGAAGGCGCCGAAATTTCCAATGCTGTTTCCTTTCGATATACACGCACGATTCCATGCATAATGGTACCCGGGAGAGGAAAGTAGCCATTCGTGACCAACTCGTGTTATTCCGGGACAAGCCGAATTGCAGGTTACGGAAAGGGGCGAGTGGTGACGAATGGAAAGTAGCAAAGAGCGACCTACGGATCACAACGCGGCTGTGTACCGTCATAGATGTCTTCATACTATTTGATTTCTGATTTATTTGTTTTAAGAACAAAGTGTCTCAAACTAAAACTCCTGCCTATTCAATGGAATCATAATTCTTCACGTGCCCTCGACAAATTCTTAGGTCCGTCAGAGAAATGCCAGTAAGCACCAATAAGACTGATCACAGAATGAAGTGGCATTTTCAATAATGTAACAAATGTTATATTTGGGATAACACATTCTTAGTAAAGTGCATATTCTAGTACTGTTTTGGGTTGAGTCCCGTCCGGGATTCGAACCAACACATTCGACCACTTCCTAAATTGCATTGTGTTTATTTTCAATAATGTTTACATTACCGGATATAACTATGCAATCTTCAGACCAGACATTGTATGGACATATACTCGGAGGCATAAAAAAAAAAATGACCTAATCGCCCCCAAAAAAGTGGATGTCGTGTTCTGGTTCCTGACCATCAACTTTAGGAGAATCATTGATGTGGACATTATGGATCTGTGTTCACGTGCGGTTATTGTCTCAACTTAAACAGGTTATGTTAAAACGTATTTTTAAAACAGTGAAGGAGTGCCAAGTTATTCACGTGCAAACTATGCACTCAGGCCCAATAAAATCAGATGTGATCACATGTCAGATCACGGCTTGGCGAATTCGAAGTGGGTATGTCCCAGGCCAGTTTGGATGTCGGAGGTTCACAACGCCATGCATGTTGCCTGTCGACCATTGCGAGACTTCATGTTCGGTAAATCAACAAAAACTTCTGACCGACCTCATTGAGGCAACTACGTAATCCATTAGGGCCATATCATTTGTTTTCTTTCTTAAAACTTAAAGATACGAATTTAAAATTTCAGGATACGGTGTTGAAGATCCATGATACGTTTTAAGTCGACCATTGCGAGATTTCATGTTCGGTAAATCAACAAAAACTTCTGACCGACCTCGTTGAGGCAACTACGGAATACCATTAGGGCCATATCATTTGTTTTCTTACTTAAAAATTAAAGTTACGAATTTGAAATTTCAGGATACGATGTTGATCATTCACGATACCGTGTTGAAATATCACGATAATACAATCAATGCTTTATATTGTTATTGCACTTGAAACTTCAAAGAAGTACCTTGAATTTTCAACATAGTATCTTGAACTCTCAACATATTACCTTGAAATTACAACATACTGTCTGGCACTTTCAAGACAAATGATATGGCTTACAAGGCAACTCATATGCGAGTTTACATATTGTGCTCTTACGTAATCAATTACAGACTTCTTTCTTCAGATGTCCACGCCTCACGGTTGCGGGAAGGGCCTCAGTGTATATATACATATATGTATTTTGAGTGCAGGTGACCCGTCTGTGATCACGGCATCAATGATGTCAGTGAAATTAGTTCCATGACGGTAACACTCCGCATCATGTACCTAAATGAACGTTTTGGACAACTATGTGCAGAAAATGTTAATAAATCAGCTTCATCTGAACCTCAGTTTTCGTTTTTAACGCCTCGAATGTTTTCTTTTATGAAAAACGTATTACCTGTTTGTCTATACATGTGAAGTGTTTGTATTGTTGTTCACGTGCGCACAATCAGTGTCTACTATTATGAGTTTTTGTTGTATTCTGTGACGACGTCTGTTTGTAAAGATTAAACGCTTCATAAAGGGATATGTAGCTAATGATGTTTTAGCTTACCTGACTGAAAGTCAAGTGAACTTTATTCATGGCCCGTTTGTCTGGCGCCCGGCGTGCATCGTGCGTCATCCATCGTAGGTCATAGACATCACACCAGGAGCCACTGCACCGCCAACGATCGTGAAGGACGATAGGGGTGAGATGGGAAATTTCAAAGTTTTTTATATATCAGTAGTGCGTAATACCTCCACAATTTGTCAAATATTCATTCACTCGACGAGGCATACTGAAAATGGTTTTCCCAAGGGTGATTTGAGGGAGTCTGTCCAATTCCTCTTGCAGCACCTGGCCAAGTTCAGCCAACGTAGTCGGCGTCCACGACGTTGATGCACACATCTCTCCATGGTGTTCCAGAAGTGTTCGGGGGGGGGGGGGGGAGGTCTAGCAGCATTGCTGGTCTGGCATTCTATGGTTGTTGTGGTGCTGGAGGTGAGCATTGACGATTTGTGCACGGTCGGCACGGGCGTGGTCTTCCTGATAGACAAAATGTCGACACACACGCCTTGCCAGCGGGACAACAAAAGGTGTTAGTATGTTGTCCCGATAGTGCTGTCCAGTGACCCCTCCTTGCAAAATACGGATTCCACCGTACCACCCTACTGCATAACCGATCGACCGCCAAATCTGTCATGCGGGCCCAGGTTGACATTGGCTTGGCGTTTATTTCGACGTCGCCAGACGCGACCACGCCTATCAAGAAAGTGCTAAGTGAATTGTGACCCATCTGAAAACATGACACGTGACATTATCCCAGTTTTAACTTTATGTACACCATTGACGATTTGAAAGGGGTGGCACAACACGTGGTCATTGAGCAAGGAGATGCATGTCGACCATTTCTAAACGTCTGACCCCGTAACTCGTACTCGTATCGCCTGATCAAAGTTTGCAGCAATTTGATTCGTCGTTTGAGATCGATTTCGTAGAACCTGGTTTCGGATCAATCGAACATGTACTCTTGTCGTTGTCTTGTATGCCCTTAATGGGGTCGATTGTCAAGAAACATTGAACGCATTGCCCACTGAACGCTGACTTCTGCATGCCAGTAGCAGAGGCTGCATCCGTAGTGCATAAACAAACAATAAATGAAATCAATTTAATCACAACTATAAAATAAGCAGAATCAATAAGATTAACAGAAATAAAGGTCCATGGAGATAAATCGACCTTACTTGAAAGTGTCAAAATCAGGCATCACACCCTGCGCACGTGCAAACTTTAGGATGTGTTTTGGTGTTAAGTTTTACAGGCGTTCTTGCACAGGATGTTTGTCATCAACAATTATCTTTGTTCTAATACTTGGTATTAACACTTATATTTCATGAATCCAGCGTTTTTAATGAGTATGTATGATCCGTTTGTTTGCAACATTTAAAATTTGTTTGACCATGCTCTTAAATTCTCTCAAAATGCATAATTGCCTCTTTAAACTTCTTCTCCTCTGATTTGCCAGACTAAGGAGGTGAATTTGGACATTTATGTTTCTCCTAATGATGCCATAATTTGTTCATGTCGTAAGATTTTAGGAGTGTTTAGTATTTACGCACAAAGTATGTGAATATCAGTGATGACAGCAGTTTCTGTCCTGGGGAGGTAAAATGCCTTTCACAATTTTGTAAATCTGCGCTCAGGATTTCAGCTATGGGTTTATGTAAACCATATGTAACGTAATGTGACACACTGATTCGGGATTTGTTTGTTTGTTGTTTAACGTCGCTCTCAGCTATATGACGGCGGTCTGTAAATTATCGAATCTGGACCAGACAATCCAGTGATTGACATCATGCGCATCGATCCACGCAATTGGGGTACGATGACATGCATCAACCAAGTCAGCGAGACAGACCACCCCGATCCTGTTAGTCACCTCTTACAAGCATAGTCGCCTTTACGACAAGCATGAGTTGCTGAAGGCCTATTCTATCCCAGATCTTGACGGGTCCAGGATTCGGGATGGGCACTCGTTCTCCCCGGAGATCACATACCCTGGCACAAACTATAGAGTTTTGGGACAACATGAGTACATGACACTTTTTATGGATAATGACTTATTTATTGTCACGACGTTTCAGAGCTACTTCTTGCTCCTTCATCCGGTGAATGATCATTATCCTGATGAGGGAGCAAGAAGTAGCTCTTCATCGTCTTGACAAAGAAAAGAGCTTGCTATTATTCACCTGATGAAGGAGCTAGAAGTAGCTCTGAAACGTCGTGACAAAAAGTTGCTATCCATAAAAAGTGTCATGTATTCATAAAACTTTCCTTGTTGCAGAATTCTTTGGACAATAATCAATTGGCTGTGAGGAGTTTGTACCCAATAAACGTTGACGATATTGCCGATGTCCACATGCTGATATTGACGATGGCCCTAATGTCGAATTAAGACTTAGATTTTTTGGTCATGAACCATTGTTGTTTGAATTGCTTACTATCCAGACCCGTCAACCTATATAGAGGATAATATATGAGTGTTCCCGAGCGAGAGCGAGCGAGGGAAATATCGGAATTTAGGCACGAGTGCCGTAAACATAGTATGACATGAACACGAATATAATTTTCTATTTATTACCGAAAATGTTTTTTTTGGTTTTTTTGTTTGTTGTTTAACGCCGCACTCAGAAATATTCCAGCTATATGACGGCGGTCTGTAAAATAATCGAGTCTGGACCAGACAATCCAGTGATTGACATCATGAGCATCGATCTACGCAATTGGGATCGATGACATCTATCAACCAAGTCAGCGAGCCTGACCACCCGATCCCGTTAGTCGCCTTTTACGACAAGCAGAGTCGCCTTTTACGGCAATTACCGAAAATGTCTACATACAGAGACAAATTATAGTGTGGTGTTTACCTTTTAGGACAGCAAGTCGCAACAGCAGCAGAACCACAATTTGTCGAATGTCAACAATCGTCAGCTATGACGTCGTTTCTAGTGTGACGTCATTCCGACCTCTCGTCACAATAAGATTCGAATGAGGTAAAAATGCCGTCCGGGTGACGTAAACAATACACTGTTGTCTCGTGACGTGATATGTCCCTAGGGCACATGCGAGTTTTATGAACCCCGATATGTTTGCCCTCGTCCTCGTAATAATTAGGAGATAACCTACTGTGTTTTGAAAATTGATGTAGTCCCACTGTAGAGTAGATACCTCTTCATTTTAATTTTTAACCGAGCGCTTTAGCAACCCGGGTTGCGGCTTAATATATTTGAAAGCGGTTTCCGTAGCAAAAAGAAAACCTCTTTTTAACAGAATCAAGCATTCATCAATGTCATGGTAGAATGTTTGATATCATAACGTTTCCAACATGTGACGACAACAATGCAAAATTGTTTCTTAAATGCACACGAGGAGATTGCGGAAACTGATTAAACCCAGTATTTTTAAAACTAAGGAGTAATAAAACTAGGAACAACAGCATCGCAAAAAAAAGTAAAAAAAATCCTCTCTCTTGTGTTTAGTTAATTGGTAATATCTTTTCTAAAAGCTATCTTTTTGCGAGTATGATTTTGATTTCATTTTCTTTCGTCTGTTGCTATACATGTTATATGAAGGATTCAATTCTCATCCCAGAAATATGACGACCGTAGTTCAACAGATGTTAGATCTAATAACCTGAGGAAGGAATATAACAGAGAGTACAAGACTTCAATTCACGCTGAATCAGAACCAGCTTCGGGACTCCTCGATAACATTCGTAATTATCGACGCTGATTGGTTGGTTAGAAAGTTCACCTGGCGAGACTTGCTAAAGAGCAGTCCTCAGATCTTTACGCAGACAGGTAATGAATCGTACCTTTCCCGTTAGACGGAAGTTTTGTTTGTTCGTTACAGTACAGATCGACCTGAGTATATGCGAATTACACGGAACTACTAAGGTCTCTGTTGGTGTTCATTCGTGACTAGGGGGGCACGGGTGGCCCAGTCGTCTAAGGCGTCGCGATTCTCTGTGCAGAGTTGCGCCCCTTGGGCACACCAGAAACCTATGATTGTGGTTTCGAATCCCGGTTCGCCCCGATTATGTTTCTAGGTTTGTCAGCACCATACCCGTGCTCGTGGGTTTCACCGAAGTGGTAAACGTCTGAGACCTGCATCACTTCGGGCTTTCCTCCCACATTAAGCTGACACGCCGCGATATAACTGGAATACTGTTAAAAGCGGCGTTAAACCCAACTCACTCACTCATTCGTGACTAACTCGTGTCATTCCGGAACAAGTCGAATGTCTTCTTGCGGGTTACAGAAAGGGGCGAGTAGTGACGAAAGGTAGAGGTCTTGTGACAGAAGAGGAAAGGCGTCACGTGAAAGTAGCTCCAAGATCTGATTTGCATTAGAAGTGGTATTTTGTTTTTATGTTTCGTGATTAATTTTCCCCGCATATCTTTAAAAAGAAAAAAACACCACAATATGTGTTAAATCACCCGATTAAATCATGACTCTCATTTTTGTCTCTGCACACAAATTGTCCCATTATCCGCACGGCGATTTCTTGCTACCCACCAGGAACCTATCACCTGTCATGAGTGCTTCGTGCACACTCCGACTTTCTCTTTTATGGCTTTATGGCATGGTGAGGAGAGATCGTTTTGGTCAAACATTTTGATGGGAATTCCCTTGTTTGACTCCAGACCTCCTCCCACAAATACGGCTAATAATTATCACGTATTTGGGAATTGTTTTGTCCTATTAAATGGCACTCAGACAGCCTTGTACCTTTAACTGAGAAAATTGCGAGACAATAAAAAAACCAAAGCCGTCAGAGCATAAAATGATAACATTTCGCCATACGGTTATCCGACATATGCCTCGTGTAAGCGTCTCCGTGCACTGCAGGTCAAGGAATATATTCTGTTATCAAGGTTTATTCTTATTTTTATTACGTCATTAAATAATCTTCAGTCTTCAGCATGAAACGCTTTGTTATTTTGAAAGTGTAAGTGACAGCACTTTGCTTTCGTCTA